ACGCAATATTGATGATAAAACGTGGCAATTTTCTTGGAAATTAAGACCTGTTTATATTAAAGAATACTTTGAAGTATGATTTCGTGATTTTTAAAAAATTTTTGATCAATTAGAATTCGTATTCTGTCCAACTTTAATTTTTTGATACTTTGGATTAACTTTTGAGACAGACGGTCCGTCCAATACATCCTTAAGAATGTTGGAGAAATACATTCAAGATTAAAGAAATGTTGAAAGAATTTATGTATTTATATCATCTTAATTTTTTAGAGAAGTTACTTCTTTCTCTTCTCTTTTTCAAGAGAATTTTTTACAATTAAACTATTAAATATAAATTCATTTTGAAAAGTCAAAATTTCTGTGCCAAAAGAGAAATCTGTGGCAGCGAATTATTACAACGTAAAATAAAAAGACACACTAAGACAAAAATCTGGTTGCATTTATTATAATTCTGGTAGATTCAACCAGTATGCTTGTTGGAAAATGGACGAACCAAAATTCTTGTAGGAATTATCAGATGAATATGATTAATTTCTTCCTGTTAAATTTATCAAATTTTCTGGTTAATAATATTAAACTCACCAACACCAAGTCGTCTAAAATTGTTTCCATCTAATCTCAAAAGTCTGTTTAATATTTTGAACGAGATTATTGGATAAATTCAATCCATGAAATTCAATTATTGAATAAATTATTTTAAATTAAGTTTGTTAGAAATTAAACAATGATGCAAGAAGAAAATGCATCTCAAACACATAACCAGAGAGCTAGCGTCCTCTTTCTGACACTACTGCTCGTAAGAGAAAAAAAATATACTTTGGATTTAATGTTAATACTAGTTCTTTATATACTTATATATTTCATGGCAAATATTGAATACGAGTTAAGTAAAGAGTGCTCTCTAAAAGTGAATCAGAAAATATCACTAATTTAAACAGTAAAATATGATTTCACTAAGAATCAATGAGTATTTTACTGATTTTCAGGGGAAACGCTTATTTTTTTGTTATTTTATCTTATACCTCACTGATTATGGTCAGTTAAAATAAAATTCACTGTAAAACCAGTAAATTTCACTGTAAAACCAGTAATCGCTAGCTCGTTCATTTACCGCTACGATCGCTATCTCTCTCGTATTTAATTTTAGTCAAGAATTATATAAAGTTTGCAAAGAACGACAGATAAAATTAGAAGTATTACTTCGATTTAATTTCTGATACAATCTCAATAGAGAGGCTTCAAATATTAAACCGATCTTATAAGTCGGACAAATAAATGTCTGGCGACTTAATAAAAATTATTCGTTCGTTATCTATTTAAAATAACAAGTTCAATATGCATATAATATAAATAAAATTTTTAATATATTAAATATTTAGTAAATATAAATAAAATTTTTAACTTTATATGAAATAGATAGAGAGATGAATTATAGTATAATATTACTGATAATAACGAAAGAAATATTACTGATATTGAGAAATATTACTGATTGAAACAGTCAAAATTATTAACTGATTCTTTCAATAAAATATCACTGATTTACAGTGCTGTACTTATAACTGCTATAATCAATGACTATTTACTATTTTTCAGTGACAATACGCTGATTCACTTTTAGAGAATGGCTCGCCGCCTAGCTTCAAGCAAAGAAATTAATGGAACAAGAAATTTTATAGATCCAACCAGAAAATACTAATCAAACCCTTATAGTAAAATCTATTAAACGTTCTAGATATAAAAAATCGACTCTTATCATGATAACTAGAAATTCTTGTTTGATTTAAAATGCCTTCAATAATATACGTCTTGATGGTACAATCAAACGATTATTTTCAGTCTGAAATAATTCCTATAAATTAATAACATAATTCCTAAATATTTCCTATAAATACATTTTTTATTATTCTTAATCTTTCTCAATTTGCTATTCGAATTTGCTATTCTTGAATCTAAAGGATGCGGAATAACGTGTTTTTGATTAATTACAGATCGAGAGAACAATTCAACTTAATTTGCTCATCATATTTCCTCATTTGCCTTTCAACACACAGAATTACCGATATCCTTCCGCATTTCCCAGCGATAGCGATCGCAAATCGACACGTGCAGCCGATACGCGTAAAAACGCATGATTTACCGGATTTACGATCGCGGCGCGCGCGCGCTTCGGGGCAGACAGACAGCCACGATGGACGGCCGAGTCGTCTCGGACGGAAGTGGGTATACACCTGGGCAAACCTGAATGAGAGAGAAAAAGAGAGGAGCCGATGACCAAAGCACGGTCCTCTTCTCCTCTCCTGCGCGGCGGAACAAGGTCAGATGTTATCGCTCGCGGTGCGAGTAGCCAAGTTCAAGAGCGGTGGAACGTGGAATCACGGGCGGGGATAAGGCGTGGGAACCTTTCCGGCCTTTTCACGGGGCTGCAATTAAAAGTTGCCTGCCGGCTGAGCGCGCCGAAAGCGAGTTCGGCACGCTTCGGGACCCTAATGTCCTTTAGACAGTCGTAGAAAGTTGATTTTTTTCTATAAGATGCGGATAGTTTGAAGGATTAATCTCGCGAAGGGATGCAAATCACTTAACCGGAAGTAATATAAACTTCGAAAACTTGCAAACATACACTTGTCTTTAGTCTCTTCGAAATAAATCTCTGCAGATC